CGAATGCCGAAACCCGGGATTGAACCAGGGACCTTTAGATCTTCAGTCTAACGATCTCCAAACTGAGCTATTTCGGCTGTTCTTTTCCAGTTCTATTTTCAATCTAGTAAATCTAACATTAAAATGGTAGGCACAAAACGGAAGTCGCAATGCTGCGTTCTTATTCAATCTATGAATCGAATGCCGAAACCCGGGATTGAACCAGGGACCTTTAGATCTTCAGTCTAACGCTCTCCCAACAGAGCTATTTCGGCTGTTGTGTGTCAGTTCTATTTTCAATCTAGTAAATCTAACATTAAAATGGTAGGCACAAAACCGAAGTCGCAATTCTGCGTTCTTATTCAATCTATGAATCGAATGCCGAAACCCGGGATTGAACCAGGGACCTTTAGATCTTCACACGTTAAACGTTGAAGACAGACTAGCCACAAATGTACACGAATGACAAATGTAATCTAGTCTACATGACAACACAGCGTCATCTACGCTCTAAACTTTCGGCTGTTGTTTTACTAACTCAAAAACGAAAATTTGTGGATATATGCTTATGTGAACTTTTGTCTTTGTTTTGGCGTGAGGAACCCACCACTAAAGGTTGTAAACGTATTTTGATACACCCTATATATATATATATATATGGAAACCGGTTACACTGTTCGATGGATACTGACCATGTGACCAGGGTTCGAATCTCACCATGGTCAATTTGTCAGGAAGGCGACTTCCTTATGTTATCGGACTAGATCACAAGTTCGATCCCAGCGTGCGGCACCTTCGAAAAGTGTCTGATAACCATGCCACGGGTTGAGTTCCCATGCCTTGTGATTGAAATTGGGTAGACAGAACTCTTGCGGGCCGTCGATAGCTGTTCAAGCACGAAGTCACAAGTCATCGTGACCGAGGATATGAGCGTGCTGGCCTGGTTCAAATTCTCGATCACGCTAGATAACACACGCTCTTCCCCAGAAACTGTAACTAAGGTCTGCTCAGCAGAGTTGCAGTTATAAACCACAGGTGGTCTAACTGTAAAATGGTGACCAAACACAAATGCGTCTGAGCAAAAGTCTCAATCGATGGATTGAATAGCCGCGCTAGTAGACAGGGTATCCTCGAAGAGCTATTGGCCATCTACATTGTCACACACACACACACACACAAACACACACACACACACACACACATATATATATATATAGAGA